AGTGAGGGGCTGGGGTGGGCGAAGCAGAGCGGGGCAGGGGTGGCGCTGGTGGCAACTGGAAACTCTGAGTCCCCCCTAATCCCGTTAGGCGCCACAGCTGCCGCGAAATAATACAAAAGTTAACAACTTGTTTGTGTCTGCTGGGTGACGTGCGGGGGCAGGGGCGGCTCCTTCGCAGAGCACCATCGGGCAGGGAACTGTGACCCTGGGGCAGCGCGCCCGGACGGGGTTACAGTTAGATTCCGAGCTGGGACAGTGGCGCAACTTTCAGCTCCTTTTACTGAGCGTGAGTGTGTCTGAGCATGACCTTGAGGGAGGAAACGCCGCTGAACTTGAGGTGGGAGTTGAGACTGCATCCGGGCTTGGCACGGCTATGCCCGAGCCTGCCTTCCTCTATCATCTGGGCCTGGTCTCCGGGAAGGGTGTAGGGATCATCTCCACTCTCTCTCCTGTCTGGAGCCCTGGGTCTCTCCTCCCTCCTACCGGAGGGTGTCTGGTAGCACCGACCACGCGAGGAGCTTGGTGGAGAAGCCCTTCCAGACCACGCGGGTGCGCTCAGAAGTACGCGAGTGGATGGGGGCTGGGCGAGTCACTGCATATAGGGGTCTCCTGTCTGCAGAGGAAGGTAGCCTTGACCCTGAGGGCAGTGACCTCTTCACCAGGTCTCTGCATCAGGCATCCTCCTGGCCATCTCTGGGGATCCCTCTCCTCTTCTGTCTCATCCTCGTTGTAGGCCTCCAGGCCCAGTGGATTTGTGCAGAGATGGTTCCCCCAGGGAGAGAGCGAGTGCCACCCTTGTTCTGCAGCTGTGTGCTGGTGGTGGGGAGGCCAGTTCTCTCCAGTGGGGATGAGATAAATGGGGATGGTGGCTATCTAGTTGTCAGCAACGCACATGGCACATAGTAGGTACAAATGCTGTCAGAAAAGGCCTCTAGGATGGAAAGCACTGGCAGGGGCCTGGACATCCCCTTCTCTACCCTATTTTAACTGTTGAATACACATTAATCTACCTAGTCAAGCCCTTTCGGCTTCTGACGTGCCTTGAGCACCTACTACACATTGGGCTCAAAGCCGGGCCGTTCCTAGAAGCTGCTGGCAGAACCTCTTGGTTTTCTTTTCTGGGAGCTGCAGGAGAGCGCCTGGAGGATAGGGGAAGAAGTTGCACTGCCCCCTGCCGGCTACCTTGGAAACGCGCTTGGCTCTGAGGTGGGAAAGGGGCACCAGCCGCAGCCTGCCTAGGGTCATTCATAGTGCCCCCTTCACCTTCCCTTCCTGCCCCCAAACAACATAGCCCTGTTATTTTCTGAAACCCTTGGTTGGCTGAAAAGATCACCATTCCATGTCCCCTGCCTCTGCCCAGATCTGGGTGTAAAGTACAGGGCTCACCTAGTCTCCCATTCTCTCTCTCTCTCCTCTCTCTCTTTCTCTGACTTTGGGTATAAGACCTAATTTTTCAAAGTCTCAGTTTCCATATCTGTAAAATGGGATCATTATTACTATCTTACAGATGAATGTAATATATAATTGTATGAATGTGTGTGTATATATTTGCATATGAGGGAAAGAAATTCCATCATACAGTTTTGGATTGAATAAATAAGTGACAGAATGAGTAGGGGTTTTCTTCCCTGGTCTTTGAACAATCTCACAAGTTTGGAAACAGCTGTGCCTGCATCTTCATGGACCCCCACTTACTGTCCAGGTTTTACCACTGGGGCACAGCCAAGACCTGAGCCGAGCAACATCTTCCATTCACCTCACTGCTGGCAGGCCTCAGCAACCCCCTGGAGCACTGGGCTAAGAGAGAAACAGGAAGGGTTGCCAGAGACGGCAGAGGGTTTCTTTGTTGGGGCGGGGGGTGTGGATTCTGCTTCCAGCAGCTCTGCACCAACAGCTTGAAGCTAGCTTCTAAGCAGCCTGCTTGCTGAACTCAGGGCTGTGAGCCCCCTTGGAGGCACAAGCTGGGCACTCCACTGTCTAGACTCTTCAGCACCCCTCCTGAAATTGAGGATATCCATAGAGTTGACTGGTGGGAACCTTTGGTCCCCTAGGTATGGTGAGGTGGCAGTGAGGGGTCCTGGAGCCTAGTGGTGAGTGGGGGGCTTTGTGCCAGGTAGATCTCTGTCTCCCCTCTCCACCAAGCAGTGCCCCCCCAGGCCAGGACATCACTTGGGGGCAAGCTGTCAGCAGCCCCCCTGGAAGAGGCCTCTCTAAATCTCCTGGTCAGTTAACCTTGCTTCAGTCCTTCACTGGGTAGCAGCTGCTGACTCAAAGGAGTTATATTTGGACAAGACTTTGTCTTATGAGATCTAAACCTTAACCCTCTCCCTAGGCCCCTCCCACACTTTAAAGGCAACTGAGAAAGCGGAAAATGAAATCCACCGGTCATCTTGACCTTACACTGCTTCCCGGTGAGTCCTGTGTGCATATATGTACACACACGCATAAGACAGTCCAGTGGAAAAGCTGGCCTGGGCACACAGAATCCTAGCATAAGATTTACATACACTTTGTTCAGTTGCAGAAGTCATGTGGGACCCTCAGCACCCCCCTTGCAAACCCGAAGATCTGAGAGCCCTCTCTAGCTCTGATTTGAGCACAGGAGCCCAACCTTGGGCCCCAGCGAGCACCTCAGTTCTATTCCTGGGGCCAATACTTTGAAACTTGGCACCCAAACTGTTTCAAGCTCTGGGTCTCAGTTTCGCTCTCTGCAGAATGAGAGGCTTGGGGTTCTGCTGAAGTCACCTGGGGCACATTAAAGCCTGTCTTTGTGGAGACAGCCCCACCTCATTTGCTTTTGCCTCCAGCTCATCTTCGGAACCCTTCAGGCATTCCTGGCATCGCAGGCAGCCCTGGGCCGCCCTGTCCCCACGTCCTCCCCTCTCAATCCCGGAGCACCAGGCTGTCATTCAACGGTGGTTCTCAGCACTGGACAGAGAGAGAGCTGAGAGGTTTCAGACTCTGGGGCTTGCAACCTGCTGGTGGAGGTGACATTTGTGGGGATTCCCAAGTGATGCTATAGCAAATAAGAACCATGGTGACATCAACAGGACCTATTTTGTCCCTGTCTTGAAGGCTGAAATGTTTTTTTAGAATCACTTTAATCAACTCTTTCATTTTAATGCAAAAATCTTGAGACCCAGAGGGGAAGTCCCAGGACCTTTGGTGACAGAGCTGATCTAGAACAGCGGCGGGTCTCACAAACTCCAAAACCCTCCGTGCACCTGCGTCCCTTCCCCTAAGCCACTCGGTTTCCTTCTTGGAAACGAGTGCATTCTTGGGAAGCCTGGGGTTTTGTTGTTTCTTTGGGTTTTGTTGTTGGTTAGATTGTTCTGATTTCAGCTGAACCAACATTTATTAGGCACTTACACTCCAGGCACCATGCAGGTGCTGGAAATACACAGACCGAAGAACGTGAGGTTGATCCTTGGCCCTTGGCCCCCACCCCCCTCCCAGAGGTCACAGTGGTGGTCACCCTGCTTGTGCAAGAAAAATAAGTAAAATAACAGATTAGCCATAGGTGTGTTCCACATGGTTCTGCAGAGGTGAGGGACCTGGGAATTTGGGGGTTCAGTGCTTTGGCCCCCATTTCCTGCAGTACACCCTGATCTCTGGTTGTTGCCTCCATGGGATCCATCCTTGCCACTCAGCCAGAGAGCAGACTCCTGAACTAGGTGATCCTCCAAGGGCTTCAGTGTGGTGTGCAAGAGAGAGTGGCTGCTTTTGCTTTAAAAGCTGAAATCCAATGCTTTACCTTTATTTTAATTTTTTTTTAATCCTCACTTGAGGATATTTTTTCTATTGCTTTTCAGAGAGCGTGGACGGGAGAGAGAGAGAAACATCGATGTGAGAGAGACACATCGGTTGGTTGCCTCCTGCACGTGCCCCACCCAGGGTCAGGGATGAAGCCTGCAACTGAGGTACATACCCTTGGCTGGAATCAGACTTGGGACCCTTCCGTCCTCAGGCTGACGCTCTAACCACTGAGCCAAACTGGCTAGGACCCAGTGCTTTACCTTTAATACTGGTCCTTATATTTGATCTCAGATTTAAACAGCTGAGTTGGGAGAGTGTGGGGGAAGTGCCCAGGTTTCAGGAGCATGCCACCATGCTCTAGCTGCAGGAATCCTAACGGACAGAGGAGAAACCAGAGGCCGGGGAGGAAACTCCCTTTCCCAGGGCCACACAGTTGGTGGAGGCTCAAGCTTTAACCTAGTGTAAGCATAAGATATTATTAAGACCCTTATTTTTTTAATAACATCTTAATGAAAAGCAGAAGAGCCTAAGTATTAAGGATTCAGTCCAA